TTAGTAATTAAAAATCTAAACTAAAAAATTTAGATTATGCAAATCTAAATTTTATAAAAATTTTCTAGTTATTTTTGCAACATACTGTAAAACTATATAAAAAATAATCTACTGTATATATCTATTACCCTTAAAAATTACTATTAACTTGAAATTTTACTTATTGTTAATAGCAAACTTGTACCTTTTAAATTTTACTTATTGTTAATAGCAAACTTGTACCTTTTAAATTTCAAAAAACTGTCTAAAATAAATAAATAGTAAAACCTTGAATTAAGATCATTATTGTAATTACTAAGTTTCTAAAATAATTACTATATATTAACAGATTTAAAATAACAAATCAATCAGCATTAACCTGATTGCTGAAAACAAAGACTAAGATGAGTCAATAGAATAATATTGCCTTGTTAGAGAAAGCCTGTAACTGTGGTCAAACTCAATCATGCATTCACATAATTTTTTGCAACTAGGTAATAATGTTAGAAACATTTTTAGATACTAAACATTATTAAGGAACTAGAAACTGTAAAAGTAAAAGAGTTAATTAGATGAAGAAAAAGACTTGAAATAAGAAAGATAATGTGTTAATATAATAGCTAAATTTTCAAAAATGTTCTTTTTGCTTCTCTGTAAAATCCTTATAAAAAATATGCATTTTCACTTGAACAAAAGAGTGTGCCCATTCTGCTCTATAAACAAATCAATAAATAATAAAAATTCACTAAAATCGGCTCCCAAAAGAAAAAGACCAAACACCAACTAAAACTTATTTATCCCCTCTGTGACGCTCCTCAAGTATCGTCTTAAACCAGTGCCAAATCGTTCCGCCTCTAAAACGTTGAGGAACGTTATGCGGCATACTCGAATTTCAAGCGACAATTCGTCACATTTCTCTGTTGTTTGTGTGTGTGTATTCGGACCGATCTAGCCAGTAACACTATGAAACTGCCTTCTGCGTTCTAATAAAAAAATTCCTCATAAATTTAGTATAAACTATGTCCTTAACGTTAATATTTTAATTTTACGTTACACCTGATCCTTCTACATAATTGGCTAAAAATCATGTGTCGGAAAATTTTCCCCATAATAACGTGTTACTTAATTTAATGTGATCGACCAATCACGAAAAAGTTATCCGAATGCGGTACCGGATCGAATCAAAAAATTGGTTAACTTCGGAATCAAGGTTCTTGACAATTTTATTATAAACCATTCTTGAAATTTCATGAGAAGAAACTTAATGCTAAATAATTACAAAATTATCTCAAAAATTAAACTGACAACTGATATGTCTTTTGATTCGTACAAATATTTATAAAACTGAAGATTCAAATGACCATGATACTGTAATTATGCAATGTTATCCAAAGTTTATATTACAATGAACAACTTATTTTAAATGCAATGTTCTTTATACTACGTACTGTACTAACTGACGCGAATAAAATGATATTAAATAATAAATAATTCATTAATATATTTTTTGAAATGTAATAGTAAATATTTATGAATTTGAATAGCTTATTTTAAATACTTAGGTTAATAAATAATTTTTTTATGCTCACTAGATGTGATGTAAGAGAAAATATGGAGAAATTAAAGTATCGGAGAGATAAAAGTTTCGGAGAAGTAGTGTATATCTGGAGTGTGTGCATTATAAAAGTGCTACTGTATACATAAAAATATTTTTGTTATAAAAAAAGTTGTTACTATTAAGGATGAAAAACCCAGTTTTAAACACTTTTTCCCCGATTTAGAACAGGTGATTAAAAGTTCGAATAGTTAAAATTGGTTTTAAATATATTAAGAACGTGTTTTTTAATTATGTAATAAAAACATTAGTTACTATTAAGTAAATTTTTTGATATATTTATTTTCTACTTTGCCTAACACTAAGATAATTTTTTAATTTCAATTATTTGAAATAATTAGTTTAGTAAACGCTTTTATTGGACATAGAATGTTCTTACAAACTATTTGTTACAAGTTATGCACAAAGACAATATTTATTATCAATAGAAAATGGAATCAGTTTAGACGGAAAAATTTATCATACTATATAATATTAAATATTCACGTTGCATAGTAACTATTTTTTTATATAAGATAAATTTATTCATACTTGAAAGAATTTAATAAAATGTGTAAGCCTCTAAATTCAAAATATGTATGTGCCAATTGATATATGAAAGAATTTTTTTGTTTACATTTTATGTCCTGAGTCGCATTATAGTAGTGAAAAAAAATAATCTCCGATTAAGCTATTAATTAGCTTCGCTTCTTTAACTCCATCAATGATACAAAGATAATAATAAATAAATTTATCAACACGTTTGCTTATTATATTTCAGATTATGTGATAAGAGGCCAGAAATAATTGAGTTTCAACATTAAGAGGCAAAAAACAATGAAATGTTTAATTTATTTGACTTTATTAATAGTAGAAGAGTAAAAAAAACCAAGGGTTTTTGTAAATAGCAAGAGTTAAATATAAATCCCGATTTTTGTATAATTATTTTTAATGTGTTCACAATGATATCATGTTTGTCACTCTCAGCGTTAGTGTAAAATACTGATGCGAAATAGATAAATAAGAATATTATTTTGTTTTTTTCTTTTTGCGTTTCGTTTCTTTGCTTTAAATCCAACATTTTTTGAGAATATTTATTAAAAAGTCGAGTAATGGGAAAGAGAAAAACAAAACAGGAGGTAGACGAAGGTAAAGATGAGGGTCCATCATATTCCTCCAATAATGAATTAATAGAAAAGAAAGAATATGAAAATATCGGTGCTCAGGTTGAAAAAACCGGTGAGAATACTGAGAATACTGAAAATACTGAAAATGATGAAATCAAAAAGGACACTACTAAACAAACCACAGAAGGGGATGGAGAAAAGGCGAGTTCCACAATTGAAGAGGTATACTTGTTTTTGAGAGCATATTTTACATTCCAGATTTGAAGTATTAAAAATCCAAAAATAATGCTTAACAAAAACAATTTTATTAATCGTTTTTTAGTCTCAACCTTCCAAAAAAAGAAAACGCGTTACTTCTAAAGAAAAAAAAGAGACTAGCGATTTAAAAACAAAACATCAGTCGAATAATTCTTCAGATCAAAAAAACAAGATCAAAGATAATAAAAAAGACACTGCAAATAGAGCAACAAATAAAACCGCAAAGAAAGTAACAAAGAAAGAATCAGAACCTAAAAAAAAGGCTCAAAAAACCAGTTCTAAAGCTACTACTAAATCCTCATCCGAGGACGAACTGATTGATACGTCTACAACTGCCGGCAACCTCCAAACTATGGTGTCAACAGCTAAAGGTCGTTGGACAGTTGAAGATGATAAATTATTATCTGATCTTGTGTTAGAACATCTTCCTGAAGTTCGTTGGTCAAATATTGCCCGAGAAAATTTTCCTGAAAGAAATAGAAGTTCTTTATATAATAGATGGAATGTTATCAAGAAAAGATTATGGAATGGTGTTGAATTCAAGGGAGAAGGTAAGGATGAGTGAAGGATACGGCGAACATGCCTGAAAAAGGAATGAATATATCTTCCTTTAGCTAGATGGAGTTATTTTGCTGTAATATTAATTGTAATTAGAATTATGTTTGCGGAGGTTAACACAGTTAAATTCTTTCTTCCCTAAATATTTTTTTCTAAAAAAAACTTTTTGTTCTATATTAAAATTAAAACAATTTTTTAACAAAGACTTTATTAGAAAGACAATTTCACTTACCAAATCTAAGATTATACTTTCAGTATCAGATGTGGATGTAAAGGAAATCTTTCTGTGTGTAAGAATATTCTTGATGATAAATGGAATACATTTTAGTGTTAAATTTCATGTAGTTTGTGAATAGTGATAGGACAGATTAAAAGTTAAATTATTGCCATAAAATAACGATAATTCATGCTCCCTTATTCGACATCAAAATGATTACCACGTGTAAACGTAATTTTACCCGATTCTTATGGTTCACATAATTTATAACCGCATATATTATTTTTTTTATCTCTTAATATTATGCCATACTGCACTTCGCGTCTCATCCCTTTTCTGTTCTACAAGTAATTTCAAATACGTAAAAGATAGTCGGTTGAAATTTATGAGACTCAAATCCAGAAGCGATGAAACAAAAAAAAAAACTTTGTATATACATATGTTAATATTAATTATAGAGCTATTATTGCACATATTTTAACTTTGATTATCTTTATATTTCCTTTTTTATCGTTTCTATTCAGAAATAGTAATTTTGGAAAATAGTCATTTGCATTTATCGTACATAGATGATGAGAAATATATAAATAAGGTCAGCAAGTGTTCACCTTTGATTAATATATGTTTTATTCTAATTCGATCTTTTCTATATATTTTACGTGGACCCTTTTCGTGTTTCAAAGTCGCACGATCACATCACCACACCAACACACATTAACCTGCACAAAATCGCATACATGAGTAATTTATTAACAGGACCAACAAATTTGGTCAACAAAGGTTGTTTGTTATAGAGAGATCACAAAAAAAAAAAACATACGTCAAAACTTTTTGCCAGAAAGGTTTAAACATTCTTTAAAAGGAGTCTGTCATCATAGTAATCATAATCATACATTAACATTATGCAAACAAATCTTATGGTTATTTAATTGCATAAATGCGCTTCACTGGAAATTAAAAAATTATCAACATTTTATTACTCTGCATAATTCACATCAAAAAATAAATCGGGTGATTTTAAATTACAATGCTTAGATTACTGTTTCTAGATTATAAAAACTTTCTTTTCTTAGGTATAATAAACTTAAATGTCGAAATCCGAACACTAAATACCGAAAATGTTCAATTCTCAAGTACATATATAGCATTACCATTTTGTCGACAATGTACCAAATGTACGCTGGATCAGCTTGATGCATGCATACATATATTAAATTATTCTGTTCTCCCGATCTAGGTCGAAACAGTAAATGTATCAAAATTAAGCGTCAGCATATGAAACAAAAGAACCTATCAAGTAACAAAAAGATTCCTTGCATAAAATATTTGTATTAATCATTACACAAATACAGTTAGTAATTTTAAAATTGAATGGTATAAAATGTTAATGCACTAAAGTTTGAATATAATAATGCGAAACCAAATCCATTGTAATTGGTTGCTGACGTGTGGTTAATGCGTGAATGCAGAACCGATTAATACAACCAAGCAGGCAGCAAATGATTGAATTCAAATGGCGTTGTATATTAAATTTATAGCATAATCTACTGTACTATATTATTATTATATTATTACTCTATTATTGCTATATTATTACTCTATTATTACTTTATTATTACTATATTATTACTTTATTATTACTATATTATTACTATATTATTACTATATTATTACTCGTCGTACAATTAAAATTTCCAGGATTTGTAATGAATATTTTCTCCTATAATAAAGCTTAAATGATCCCTACATTTGTTTTCACCTTTTCAGCGCGTCGGATTGTCAATTTCATCTATAAGTGAAGTATCCAACACCATCAATCCATACGCATAAAAAAAAAAAAAGGGAAAAGGAAAGTTCTTTAGTGAACTTCCTCCCTTATCATATCAAAGATATTGCTTTCCTGCCGCTGATTCGACTTTGACGTTTCTTTTTGGCTGGCACCGTATCCTTTAATTATCATTTTTGGATTATTAAAGTTTTTCTTTTTAAACCAAATTTGGATAAAGAATCTAAATTTCTTGTACATCAAGTTTCGAAACTATCATATCAGATATCTAATGTAAATAATCAAATTATTTGAAATCTAATATCTTATTATTACGAGATATTACTACAAGAAACTTACAAGTCTTGGATTTAATTCCATTCAAATTAAAATAAGGTTTTAATATTATTAATATCATCCTTAATGTGACTAGAATTTCTGTTATTTTTTGTTCCATAAAGAATATCTATTCATCCAGAAGGATTTATAACAAAAAAACGAAACGTCATAACAGCTCCAACTGCTGTAAATAAGATAATTGCCTTCCTTTAAACCCACAGGTTTGATTTTTTTTTTTTTCCTTCTTAATTATAATCAAATAATCAATAATAATCAATTATAATCAATAATAATCAATAATAATCAATAATAATCAATAATAATCAATTATAATCAATAATAATCAATTTATTATTTCTATCGAAATTACAATTTTTAGTCTGGTTAAAAACAACAACAAATCATTTGATATGACACGATCTATGGAAGCCATGCAGCAAATATATCGTCGTTCGAGTGAATCCGTTGTCACACATCAAGCTTCAAGATCTATACGCGCAAAACTTGACGATCAACGTCGTTCAAGTGAAACGAAAAAGAGTGATATAGTTGCTGCTAGAAGATATGCTACGTATGAATTGAATTGGTATGACCATAATAAGTCTAATATGAAAGATGCTGATTGTATTGAGGGTTCTGCACAATATACGAAACCGAAATTCTCAAAATCTCTTTCACAATCTCCTATCACATCTCCTATGTTACAAGAAAGAATACCTGCTCCATTAAATATTACAAATTCCGTGATTACAAAGAATTTGGAAAGAGAAAGTACGTATTCACACGTATCAGAACAAAATCATCCATTCTTCGGTGGTATCACTATAACTACAGTTCAAGTTGTTAAAGTTGAAAATGATTCTCAAAAAAAAAATAATTTAAATATTAGCTCTTCTTTACCACATAAAATCAATAACAATATCGATAAATCTTTTAAAAATGATGTTCAAGGTTATGAGAATCTACATGTAAAGATTCCTGAATCTTTAGAACCTCAAATTGGTTTAAAACAGAATGATCGATTGAGACCAAGAAAACAACGATTATCAACACATATAGTAAAGGCAAAGAGGCAATCAAATACGGGCGCACAAGCATATTCAAAAACCGTGGTTTTGTCTTCAAAACGTTCATCCTTGGGTCACTTTAATTCAACTTATATGCAAAAATATCCTGGAATGATACCATTACCTTCAAAAGAATCGGTATCTAATAAACCTAAAAAACTGATTAGGAAAAAATTACGAGTGTTGGTAAATTCCTCAACATGTAATCCTACATATTCAAATGATCCAACTGATATGGAAAATGACTTGCCTATATCAAATAATCAAAGAGGTCGATGGTTGCCAACTAGTCATAATGTACCACAACTCCTTCACGCTTCTCTTATACCTTTACCTCAACACGTCAAGAATGGTTCTGTCGTACATATATCTCCTAAATTGAAACAGTTAACGCGTACAAAATCAATTAGGAGACGTTCATCTGCCATAGTTCCACCAACTAAACGACGTGTTTCTCAAATATTCAGACAACAATTATTAGAACAAAGTATATTAATGTCATTTAATGATCCGCAACAAATTACCAAAACGCGTCATGCACCTAGAGGTAAACAAATACGAAAAGCTAGAAAAGGTATCAATGCGAAATTAGATCATGAATTAAGACGAGAAAGACAGAAAAGAAAAACCCATGGAAAACATTCAGGGCAACATATAAAAAGAAATCATGATTCAATTCCATATAGTAAAAATCGACCAAAAGTACAATCAGAACCGAAAGCTGTAAACATTCTATCAATTCCAAGAATTTTGGATGTGGATGAATTAGTTAAAAAGGTTGATGAGGAACTTCGTAAAAAAGAAAATTTAATGCCCCCATTACCCCCACCAAGACGAATAGTTCATGGATTACCAACTCCTGATTCTGTTCCATCAACTCCTCAGACTAAAAGTAATACATCTTCATTACTTGCTTCGTTACCAGACAGAAGGTCTGCAAAGTCCGATGGAATAATATCTACTGAACCACCACCTTTTCCAACTCATCTAACACATAAAGCTGTGCCTTTTCCAGCTCGCCAATCACAAAATGAGTCAATGCGAACGCCTTCTACAATTGATGCCCGTCAATCACAACAAAATAGTTCTATGCGAACGCCTTCTACAATTGATGCCCGTCAATCACAACAAAATAGTTCAATGCGAACGCCTTCTACAATTGATGCCCGTCAATCACAAAATGGTTCAATGCGAACGCCTTCTACAATTGATACCCGTCAATCACAAAATAAATCAATGCGAACGCCTTCTAAAATTGATACTCGCCAATCACAAAATAGATCAATGCGAACGCCTTCTACAATTGATACCCGCCAATCACAAAATGGATCAATGCGAACGCCTTCTACAATTGATACCCGTCAGTCACAAATAGCGTTGCCAACAAAATTACGTATGATTAATCATCACGTACTATAACATATATTTATTTTGTGTGAATTAAAAAATATTACTATGTACCAGTAGTTATTTCCTTGTGATGATTAATATTACGTAATTTTGTTGGCAACGTTAGTCACAAAATGGATCAATGCGAATGTTTTCTACAATTGCAATTGATGCTCACCAATCACAGAAATGGATCAATACGAATATCTTCTACAATTGATACCCACCAATCACAAAATGGATCAATGCGGAATTGCCTTCTACAATTGACGTTTTCTACTAATTAAATTGACCCAAAATTTTAATTTCAATCGGTGTGATGTATTAGAATGTTTGATTATATAGAAATCTTTTTTCTTTTCTTTGAACATTTGTAATAATGATGATGGTTTTTATTTTAGATGCTTTGTTATTAATTATTTATATCTTAATAGATCGTGTTATATCTTATTTATACCACTTTCATCCTATTTATCGTATTTATATTTTCACTGGATACTTCATTTATTTAGATAATAAAAATTAAGTTATAAGAAACTTTGATATGTAAATCAAAGTTACTGTATAATTTGAGTGATGTTCGATAACATAGTAGCTATGTAATAATGACCTAAAATTCTAAGTTGTTCGACATGTTAAATATATAAATTAAACAATTATATCGTAAAAAAAAAAAAAGAAATTAAAATAAGTTTATTTTAAAATGAAATGAACAGTAGGGACAGTTAAATGATTGGCACCTTGAATTAACAATTTCAGGGGTCCATTAAAGCCAGGTACGTTCATATAATGATCTACATACTGCATAAATTGTATTCTTGATATCTTTATAGCATACTAATCTTAACTGCATCAAAAAAGTAACCTCAACTGGTACCTGGCTTTAACGTTCCCCCAATTTCAGTAAATCGATCACGTGATAAATAAATGTAGATCAATTTTTATACGAAAATTCTTTTCATGCCCCAAAGTTTCGTGCCCCTAACGTTAGCTAATGGTTTTAGTAATAATTTCATGCCCCTAAATTTAGCACCTGAATTTTGATATTATCTGATTGGCTAGATACAAAAACTATGGGGCATGAAAATAATTTTCGATTTTTATACTACTATTTATGTAGATCAGGTGTACCGAATAATTGATTGTAGTGGAAAATTAATTGCAATTATTGTTATTTGGCTACAATTAATTAACTGGTGCCGTAGCCACGATTAGTCAATTAATTACAATTATCGTTACGTATTATGACAAATTACATCACTTTTACAGTGATCTGATTAATTATTAAATATTACAAAGCTTTTAAAAGCACATATATCAAATAGTATATACAATATTTTCATTTTTATATATGTTTCAAAAAGTATAAAAAGATTAAAAAAATATTGTATCAAGGCATTTTTTAGAACCTATAACTAATGACAAGCATTAATATATTTTGTGTTCATCTAGGGTTATAGTTAATCTTTAAAAAAAAAGAAGTCAATTACATAAATTTAATAATTTATTTAGAAGTTAAATATAAAAATTTCAAGTTGATTTACTAATAATGTATCAAATGTGCTAGTCCTTTCATAACAAATAATAACATACTTAATTTTAATACAAATTTGCATAATATTTTTAACTGAATAAGTCATTATAAAATGTCAAATTCTATTTAATATATATGTAAATTCTGATTTTATCAAAGTATTATCTTATTGAATGTTACTAAGTATCTATAGTTCTTCAAATTTACCTTTAATACAAACTTACTAAGTATGATATCAAGATTATTTCTTAGATTTTTATTCAATTTTAGTGTATTCTATATTTACTAAAATCAGGTTAGTATTAAAGATATTTAAATTTTAATAAGTTTATTTTTTTTCATGATTTTTTTTTATATTTACTATATTATTTGCTAGTATATCTTTTCTTTATTTCTGATATTTTTTATTATTTTTCTTATATTGAGTATCAACTTTTCATATTAGAAAATTTCTTTTTGAGAACTTCCTTATACACTAATCTTATATTCATATAGATTTAGTTACAGAGCTTTGTGTATATTTATATGTTTTTATAAACTATAGAGTTTTAGATTTCAGTTAAAATTGAACTGTTAATCTTGTCTGTAGAGAGAGGGGGCACCCAGATCATTAAGCTATAGAACTTTAATCTTTTAGTTTGTATATTTGTTTAAAGGTAAGGAGTAGTATTTTAAAATTATATATAAACCTAATAGTAATTTTTTTTTATATTTAATTTTATAAAAAATTATATTAAGTA